ATTGTATACTTTATTTTAATTTCTCACATTTGTATTCTATTTCATTAATACTTAAAATAACATCGTGTCTATATATTGTTAGGTAAGAAGTATGGATGTTCACAGTCTTATATAACCAATTGCATAATAATTTACTTATGAAGTTATTAAATTATTACATGTCATTTTGATTCTAGTAAATATACGTTTATTCTTTAGTAGATGAATGCAAAGTGTCACGTAATAAAATAATGTAAGCTATGAAGTATGGAAATATTGTATACATGAATGCTTGTATGTGCATGTTGAGAGAAGCTGACTCCTTTATTGTATTGGTTGGGCATGTCAATGTACTTATGCGCGTAGATAATTCTTATAATCTCATACAATTGTGAAATTTAGATCACTAATTGTTGTGTCGATGGGAGAGTATCGGTCAGGGGTTAGTAGGCACCCGACCATCTCAGATAATTTAAAATTTTAAATCACTAATTATTGTGCCAATGAAAATCTTTTGATTAGTGATAATCAAACACTTTTCCACCTCATACAATAGTTGACATAATTTACTAATCACTATATCGATGTGGTATGTATCAGTCAAGGTTGTGTTTGGTTATGCTTAGACAGTGCTTCTGAGACAAATGTAAAATTTAATATTATGAAGTATATTAATGTTTAAGATTAAATATTGGAAAGCAAAACAAAAGTTGATCATATAGAAATATTTAGATTTCTTCCATGAGTATATTTTGGTACCTTCCATGAGCAAATGTAATGAATAGATGATTTAAATTATTATATAATTCGTTAGGACATATTAGAAAAGATGCATGCATATCGTTTTCTTTTTTGTGGGTTACTGTAATTTAGGAATATAATTGATCTACTAGGCTATCTTAAATAACTCATTGTGTTTTAATATTCTTTAAGTTTTAGCTTTTTGAATAAAAGATAGAATACTAGAAGAGAGAATATTTACAGAAGACGGGATTAGCAACTAGAAAGTTAAACTTATATTTGTCAATTAAATTAAATATTTTAGTTGCTCTTTCAATTAATATTTGGACTATAAGTTGTTGGTGATAAAAAATAAATATTAAAAATTTTTAATTTTACTTTCTAACAGTTCATTCAATTAATTTTATTTTAGAAGTTGAGTGTTGTTTTAATTATTTTACCTTATTTAGGATGTCTTAGTTTCATTATGATATCTTGTTTCAAATTTTTGGGGGGAGTTCAGTTAAATAATCTTATCTCCAATGTTAGATTTATCATATATATTTATGTTATCACTCAACAAGAATTGGACTATCTTGAAGATTTTTTTTTTATAGGTCATGTTTTATTACATGACTGTAATATTCATTAAAAAAAAATTATGTTTTGGCGATTACGATTTTAAGTAAAATTTTTGGATGGTTTCTACTTATAAGACTGATGTCTCATTCGGAATGAAAGAAAAGAGAGAACAAGAAAGAGATTCAGTGAGTGAAATAGAGAAGTAGAGAGGAGTCACGTGCTTATCATACTAAAGATTTGATGCCATGTGAAGGAGAATTTGATTTTTGATGAGGAAGAAAGGAAGAATCCTAGTGTGCGGCTAACAATAGAGGTTGTGTGCGAGAGGAGACGCTTGTGGTATCTTACGAGAAAACCCTAGCTGGGCCTAAGAAAGGTGACCTACGTGCGATCTGTGTGAAGGGGAAGAGATAGGAGAAGGCAAGGACCTGTCGTGCGGCCTTGTTTGTAGGAGACATGTTTGAGCCCTATGCAAAGGAAAAAATTAGGGAGGAAGGGCTTTGCGTGCAGTGAGAGAGCCGCAAATGTGTAGGAAGAAATGAAGTAGATGGGCTGCGGTGTAGTCATGCGAGCCATTGAAGAGGGAGCCTCGCTTGTGGAAGATCAAACCCAAACGTTCAGCTTTTGTCGTGCAAGAAGAGTTGAACTGTGTTGCTTCTTGTAGGAGGGAATGATATTTTTCCTAATTAAAATCAAAAAGAAGAAGGGAAGGCTATTTGGAATTTTGATTGAGAAAGAATCAATATCGGTGAAAGAGGAGGTAAATGTTCATGGTTTTATTTAAATACATTATATTAATTAAATATCATTAGCTAGATATAATTTTCATGAGTGGAATCAATGATTAGATTTTGGAAGAATATATAATATAAAATTTGATTTGTGGAAAATATTTAAATAAATTACTTTTATTTAAGTTATTTATCTAGAAAAGAATTCTTATATATTGACTTTTAATTGATATATGTGATAGTCAAAGGAAGTAAAATGAAGGAATAAGCTTTTAGAGAATTATTTGAAAGGTTAATGTGAGTAATTATTCATCTATGTTGTGGTGATATTTCTTAATTCTGATTATATTTTTTATTTTAATTTTTCACATTTATTTTCTATTTCATTGAGACTTAGACCAATAGTGATGTCTTCATACTATTAGGTAAGAAGTATGCATGTAAAAGTTTCGCATAAACAATTGAATACTAGTTTTTTCTGTGAAGTTATTAGATTATTGCTCATTTTGATTCTAATAAAAGTACATTTATTCATTAGTAGATTAATAAATTCATACTATTAGGTAAGAAGTATGCATGTAAAAGTCTCGCATAAACAATTGAATACTAGTTTTTCTGTGAAGTTATTAGATTATTGCTCATTTTTGATTCTAACAAAAGTACATTTATTCATTAGTAGATTAATAAAAAGTTTCGCATAAGAAAGCAATATATGCTATGAAGGGCAAGCAATCGCATGCGGAGGAAGGAGATCCTTCCGTGCGTTTAGTCGGGCCGAAGGTGAAGAGGTAGGGTTAGTTTGTTTTTTTAAACATGAATAATGATAATAATATTAATATTAATAATAATGTATATGTATATTATTAATTAGATATAATAAAAATGAGAGAATTTATTTAATTTGTCATAACATAATAATTATGACTATCGTGCTTATTTTAGGCATTTCATTTTCAGAAGATTCGACGTCAAGGCAAATTAATCGGCAATTGGGGTGAGTACTTGTGTTTTTAAACTATAGTAATAATTTGTTTCTTCTAAAGTATATTTGCAGTTTATGATATTTATGGATGTTTTATTTTGATTGAGCTATTTTTTTTATTGGTCATATCGTTGCGAATGTTGTAGCTTTTTACTCATGCGTTTTAGTGCATGTTTTATAAGCATGATTGAATGTGATGAATAAATATGTTTATGTTGAATGTGATAAATACATATGTTTATGTGGAATGCTTGTGTGTGCATGATTGGATATGATGGAGCACCCCTTAATAGTACTAGTGGGGGAACACTAATGTACTCGTGCACGTAAATGAAAAATGATATTGATACTGATGTGTCTTAATTGACATTATTTTTTAGACAATACCTCTTGTGACGATTGTATAGTTATTAAATGATATTGATTTGATAATGATATAGTTTCATATGAATAACATATCAAATGTTTATATTCATTTATAAAGAAGTTTAACTAGCATGCATATTATTATTTCTTTCTTTTGTCTTATTTTAGTTTAAAATTATGAGTATTCACTAGCTTTTTTTAGTTTACTATTGTGTTTAACTATTTTTTTAGGTTTAATTAAATTGTGATAGACGAGAAATTGTTTATAAAAAGCGTTGACAACCGTTAATGAGGTATTATATATTTACCGCTTTAATTTAATTTGGAGTGCTTCCTTCATCTATTAAATTGAAAGTTTATATAGAAAATTTTGTCCTATTATCTGCACCCGTCTTGGTTTATTTCAAGCCCTGGGTCGGGTTGTGACACAAATCCTAATCTTAAGTAATCAGCTATTAAATGATATTGATTTGATAATGATATAGTTTCCTATGAATAGCATATCAAATGTTTATATTCATTTATAAAGAAATTTAACTAGCATGCATATTATTATTTCTTTTTTTTGTCTTATTTTAGTTTAAAATTATGAGTATTCATTAGCTTTTTTTAGTTTACTATTGTGTAACTATTTTTTTAGGTTTAATTAAATTATTAAAAGATGAGTGATAGACGAGAAATTGTTTATAGAAAGCGTTGACAACCGTTAATGAGGTATTATATATTTACCGCTTTAATTTAATTTGGAGTGGTTCTTTCATCTATTAAATTGAAAGTTTATTTAGAAAATTTTGTCCTATTATATGTACCCGTCTTGGTTTATTTAAAGCCCTAGGTCGGGTTGTGACACAAGTCCTAATCTTAAGTAATCAGATCTCTATTTAGAGATGGTTAATTTAGCATGATGCAGTTTGATTATAAGGGTTATCATAGGTTGTAGGCTAGCTGTACAGAATAACTGTTGAATTTTAATCAACACCAAATTAGGACAAACTTTCAATGCAAGCTGTGACAGCAATGAATATTCGTTAAGAAATTATAAGCCTGATGTCTAGTTGTTGAGATAGCTGCTGCTTCTTGTGATGATATATCCTACACGTTTACTGTATTGCTGTAATTTTCTTTTGCTTCTTTGGATTATATAAGGCTAATATTAATTTTGATTCATTTCTTACTTTTGTCTAACTCTCCCTAAACCAATTTGTTCCTTTTTTTCTTCATTTTGCTTTGGTTTTATTAATTTTACTGCAGGTGTGTGTGTGTGTGCGCGCGCGTGTGTGTTTCCTTTTTGTGTGTGTGTGTGTTTGTGGAAGAGTTAGACATACCACTCAATTCCTATGTATTTACATATCAAACACCTAAACTTCAATTTTTTACATACATATCCACCTTATCCATGCCTGAAAGGTGTATTTCACTTTTTAAAAGTTAAAATGGTGGTATTTTTTATGTGATACGACATATTTGGGTGGTATAAATGTAAAAAAGCAAAATTTACGTGTAAGATATGTCAATTCATAGGAATTGAATGGTATTTATGTAAATGCCCCCCTTTTTTTCTCTGTCTGTCATTTTAACTAGTTTGATTTTTACACTTACATGCATGTTACCTAAATACTTGTTACCTAATATTTTATCAGGGAGCATTTCTTCCTCCAACAGATTCACATCAAACAAAAGAGCAATTATCTACCTGGAATGGGAATTCCAGTCTGAATAAAATTCAAGTGAAAAGGGTTGCTTCTGCTAGTAGTGTAATATGTGATCCTTATCAAACCTCTTATAGTTCTATTTCTGGTGAAGCAAACTCCATGCATGATGGCAAAGTTGTTAACACAAACTTGCCGAATATGTTCAACATCTTCGTTAATTCTGACTCGTCATCACAGCTAGAGGTCAATCAAGCATTACGTAATATTGAAGAGCAATTAAGCTTGGATAAATATGATGATAACGTATTAGCAGATATTGAAAGCCTTCAAGATCCCGCACTCCTGGATGGTGAAATAGGAAATTCTTTCGAGAAGCTAGCTGAAAACTTTACTCCAGCAATAGATGATACAGGATCTGATCAAGGTGAAATCTGAAAACCAAACACTATCATTAAGTCAGTTAGATGTTGAATTTTCCTGTTAAAAAATCAACCCAATCAAGAATTTTTTTCCTTTTAAAAACAGTCAACTTTTTTCCCTTTAACTTGATGATGCAAGTAGCGTTAATTATGCTATGTTTGCATTTTTTATAAAAATTGCAACTGAAGGCTTAGTAATCATCCCTTTCTGGGTAATTTTGAAGAAAAACAGAGCGGTCATATTGTAGGAGGGAGACTGAATGGTTCTATGACAAACCGAAGGTATCATAGTTTAGCTTTTTTGTTGAGTTGGCCTTTTGATTGAAAATCCGATCACTGTACCCTTATCTTTACAATTTTGAAATATAATTATTTAGAAAAAGAAGGCAAATCCCTCCATGATAAAGAAACATCAGTGAAATATTATAAAAAACTTCTGTTCTGAGGCTTTTACAAAAACCCAAGATTCTCTATAGCCGTTTGATATTTTAAACATTTTTTTAAATGTGAAACCGAGATAGAAAGTAAATTATACTGATGATATTCTACCAAATTACTTTCTTATCTACTGTCTTTCCTTTAAACGAGCATTTTTTTTTGCTCCACATTCAAATAGAGGCTTGGACAAAGCAATATTTTGAAAGCATTAAAGGTGTGATAGCGTAAGTTTTTTTTGTCTTTCAATAAGCAAAGAAGGGAGAGAAGAAAGCTTCTGTTAATTAGAGCGTTCATTACTGAATAGGATAGAAGATTTCAAATGTTTAATTCGTTGTCCCATCCACAAACAGTATTTTTGTAGAATTTTGGCTAAGTTCTTGACAGCACACATAGAAGAATGGGCGAATAGCAATATATCATCCACAAAGAGCAAATAAGACGAGCACCGACCACAACCAGCCATACCCTTGAAAGTGTGTTTTGCCTTAATAAAAGATGGAGGCACAAAAAAGTGTACAAAACTATGCCCCGGGGCATCAAAAGTGTATAATCTATCCTGTTCTAAAAGAGCAAAAGATCTTCTGATTCAATTTCAAAAGAAAACAAAAAACTATCAAGCAAAGCTAATGGAAAGTGCAAAAGAGTGTACAAAACTATGCCCCAAGGGCATTAAAAGTGTGTAATATATCATGTTCTAAAAGAGCATAAAGAACTTTTGATTAAATTTCAAAAGAAAATGAAAAACTATCAAGCAAAGTTTGTTGAGCACAAAAATGAGCAGCTTTGATACAAGAACGAAATGAAACAAAACCTATATGAACTCCAAGAAGAATGCGATGTCCAGACAATTGGGTGGCTGTTGGTTCCATCTGTGCAGCTCTTGAGGAACTCAATCACATTTTTGTTATCCCCTCAATAATAATGCCTCAGACCTCAAGCATCGAAGGTTCGAACCAGTTCTTAATGGCGAGGGCTGCCTCAAGCTCCACTTGGGCATCCCAGTGCTCCCGGTGTCTTCCAGCTGCCTTAATGTGGTTGTCATGGTGTCCCGGATGACCATATTGATACCCACCACACATGAAGGAAGAGAGGCTCTGTCAATGTTCACCTTAAGCCAACCAGGAGAGGGGGGGTGGGGATACAAAGAAGCTTAGTAGACGACCTAAAAGGCTGAGAAGCATCCCATTGCTCCTGAATTGGATAAAGGTGAGCAAACGAGAGAGCCCACCCCCAAAATAGTAGCCACAATGATCGTGGTGGTGCCAAAGGATCTCTCGTGCTTCTTAGTGTTCCGTACATGCCAACATTGGTGGATCACGTTGCAAAGAATGTGAAATTGTGCAATATTTCTGTCATTAGAAGTTGAGAAAGCTCATAAAGTTTCTGCCCAGATGGAAAAAAGAGGTATAGCTATAACCCAATTACGAAGAACCCCAAAAACCGCCACCACAACTTGACATCTGTAGCTGATATGAGTTCTATCTTCGGTAACCGAACATTCCCATGGGCAATCATGGCATTGGGGATATGAGTTCAATGTTCGCCACTGTCATGTTTGTGAAGCCACATATTTGTAGGGATAGAGTCTCGTGTAAGACGCCACCAAAAAAGATTTTCAAGGGAAGTAATTTAAGCTTTTTTAGCCACTTGAAGTGTCGCATCTTCCCCCAACCGTGCCGCATATGCCAAGGAAGTAATCATATGCCCAGATATCCAAGCTTTCATTTCAAGCTCATCCTCTAGATCATTGTTATCATAGGGAAGTGCCAAAATTTTGCTTTGAAGCTCTTTTCCACAAGATTGTCGCACCATATCTATTTTCCAACTTTCACCTTGTCGCAGGTTTGCCACCATGAGCCCCTCCAACTTGTTTCAATCATTGAATGTTGGCCATCTAGAGAAGGGACGCTCAAGTAGCCATGCATGGTCGAGGACAGAAATGGAGCTGCCATTGCCAATCTAGA